TTTTGCTTTTGTTTATTTTGACTTTTTGAGACAGGGTCTTGCTATGCAATTCAGTCTGGCCTGAGCTCACAATGATCCTCCTGCCTTAGCCTCACCAAGTGCTGGGATTACAGGTATGCACTACCATGCCCAGCCTTGGGCCTACAATCTTAAAAGATTAATATCACTGCATCCCACCAGCATCAGTCTGTAGTGTGACAGGTTCTGGCCCTCGTATGAATTGCTAAAGTCATTATGGTGGTCATCTAATATGCCTGACACCCTTAAAATAAAGAACCACCTCCCCCCTGCTCCAACTCAGCCCAGGACATAATTTACTTTTACCCTTCCCACCACCCCAGGGAAGACCCCCATCAGCTCCTTAGGTGTATCTAAAATCCCTTTCAAGCCCCTCCCCTGGTAAAAGGCCATGAAAACCTCAGCCTCCCTTTGTCTAGTCCAGATAATTTCTTATCTTCCTCAAATTCTCTCCGTACCCTCAAAGAAAATAAAGCCCCTTTCTCTTTTCCTTCTGCTGTTTCTCTGCTGCGCAGGGAACCTATCATAATGGTGCCAGTGTAAGGCTCCTGGGGGCCAAACCCGCAGTTCTGAGCCCCTGCCTATCCGCCAAGCCCTCTCTTCTGGATTCTGCCCATTTGCTGCTGCTAGCCTGCATCCAACACCAATACACTTCAGTCATTCCAGGTGAGCTGGGTCACAGCGAGAGATTTCTAGCAGCTTTTGGGGGAGGCTGTTCCACTGTCCTCTGGTAGAGGGTCAAACCCTTGCGTCCTGCCAAGGATGAGCTGCTTCCCTCAGGTTTCAGTAAACTGTGGGCTCTTGTCCGGATCTCTCACTGGTCCAGTGGACAGCAGCTGGCTGAGTTCACTTACCTTAATCTGGACAGCAGCTGGCTGTGTTCACATTCCTTAATCTGGACAGCAGCTGGCTGTGTTCACGTTCCTTAATCTGGACAGCAGCTGGCTGTGTTCATGTTCCTTAATCTGGACAGCAGCTGGCTGTGTTCACGTTCCTTAATCTGGACAGCAGCTGGCTGTGTTCACATTCCTTAATCTGGACAGCAGCTGGCTGTGTTCATGTTCCTTAATGGACACCTGAAGGCAACGCAGTCCCTGTCCCATGGACTCCCACCTGACCCCCGGTGACGACTGGGTGCATCAGGCTCGGGAACCCTCAGTGCTTCATTATGGGGAACAGGGGTGACAACCACCTTCTCTGTTTTGAGGTCTGTTTGACTCAGCCTTAATTAGGCAGTCTCCTTTGACTACAGGTCAGTGACTGGTACAGTCAGCATGACTGTGGGGAAACACTCATTCCCAACCTCGAAGAAACACTGTTAGGGCGCCTTGTCCGAAACTTGGCTTCCTAGGTCTCCGAGAGGTCATGAAACCTAAGCAATTAATCTTTTACTGCCAGACAGTTTGGCCACAATATAAGCTTGGTTGAAATACCCAGCAACAGGGACCAGGGAGATGGTTCAGTGGAATAAGTGCTTTCCTGGCAAGTGCAAGGGCCTGAGTTCAATCCCTGGTTCCGCCAAAA